TGAAATCCAGATATGTGTGACGTGTGTATGACAAAATGTTCTATTGAATTAGATAAAAAGAAGAGGAGGAGGGATGAAGACTACAAAATAGCAGATGTTATTTCAAAAGAAGTAAGGTCTTATTCCAGTAGTCTGTTCTGCACATTTCTTTAACGTATAATTATCTGCTCTCATTGGTTCTGCTTCATTTTTGTCCTGCAGGAAATCATATCGCAAGCTAAGAAAGCTAAAGTGGAGGATGCGGTAATGGTGGCCTTTAATTTGACTTTTCTGCTCTTGTCAAGTAATCCAACAAGTGTAAATTGGATATAGAAAAAAACTGATTAATTAAAGACAGCACATCCAGTCGTACATGTGTAAACCAAACATGTGATAACAGGACAAGAATCGGGTCCAGAGGAAACTACAAGTGGAGGATATTGAGAAGATGAGCGATTCAAACCAGGACATCAAGAACCGTCTGTCTGAGAGGGTGCGGGACAACGCCCAGCATCTCCTGGATCATCACAGGAAGGTGAACGGCCAGCCGGTGCCCGCCCAGCAGCCACTGCTCTTCACCGGGGGGGTCATGAGGTCGTACCAGATCGAAGGCATCGAGTGGCTCAGGGTGGGTACTTGTCGAGGTGGCTTGTTTTTCCAGTTAGTACGTAAGACCTTTCTGATTGTTTTTGTTAGAACGAGTCCCACACTTGGTGAGAATGTGACCTGCCTTTTGTATTGCTTTCCTCAATGGCTAAGGTTAGCATGCTTAGCATACCAAGTGCCATGGTAAATGATATTCTTTTGGCAATCGTAGCAAAGAATACATTTCGGCTTGCCTGTAAAGTAAATTGCCTTCTGCATCAACTTTCCTTTTCTTGAGCGAGTTGGTAGTCTATTATTACCCCATCACTCATCTACAGTGCCGCTGCTGAAATAAAGAAGCTTCAGTTTGCATGTAACAAAACCAAGATGCATTTTAGGGACCCCGTACGTCTGTACAGCCTCATATCATTTTGTAATTAAGAGTAAAGCAGCAGTGTATGTGTTCCATGCATCAGATGCTGTGGGAGAACGGCATTAACGGGATATTGGCAGATGAGATGGGACTGGGGAAGACCATCCAGTGCATTGCTCACATCGCCATGATGATAGAAAAAAAAGTGACAGGCCCCTTCCTTGTGGTGGCCCCTCTCTCCACTCTTCCCAACTGGATCAACGAATTCAGGCGCTTCACCCCAGAGGTAGGAGGCCGCGTTGCTGAGAGGAAACTAAAGACCTTGACTGCTTCCTAAAACATAACTGAAATATTTTTAGTTTGCAGCTAACCCCGATGTTAGATCTGACAGGATGATATCTGTTAATAAGTGCTGTTGTTGAGTGTTGGTGTTTTTGCCAGGTGTCTGTCCTGCTTTTCCACGGTCCCCAGCCGGGAAGGGCCCAGCTGCTTAAGCAGATCCGCAGGCCCCAGGGGCCCCTTAGCGTTTGTCCTGTGGTTGTCACCTCCTTCGAGATTGCCATGATAGACAGAAAATACCTGCAGGTAGGATCGCTGTGAATAAACACTTTTTATATATGACAGAAACATGCATGTTTTATAGGGACATGATGTGCAATATTATAATCATAGTTTTGTTCTCACTGCTTGTAATACTCATAATACAAAAACACATTCAGTGCATGACATTAAGGATTTTGGGAGATGGCCCTGTGGGCCATCTAAGCTAATTTACAGATGGCCCTGAGCCCAATAGAGATTGCCCTGAAAAATGCGCGCGGACGAAATGGCACGAAGGGTTTGGGGGGCCTCCCCCTAGAACATTTAGATTTTTGCAGGTCTTGGATGCTGTCTGGTGCATTCTCTAGACTGAATTATAAGATGAACCACCACAATATTATATTGTACAATTTCTATTTTATTCTTCATTTCACTTGTTTGTTTGTTCTTGTTTGTGTTAGCTCGCTTGCATGCCCTGCATAGCTATAAGAAATACTTAAGTTGTTGGTGAAGAAACTTTCCATCTGATGAAGGCAAATGCCTTCCCAGATGTAAAAAAGTAGAAAACATAACATTCAGTTATAACTGCCAAAACAAACATTATTTACACTATTATGGCCCCTGTTAAAAATGTTTGTAATGTTATCTACTGTAAATTGGTCGAACGAATGCCTCCTCATCCGGAAGCTGACCGAGCAGACCCGAGCAGCAGTCGAGAGGAGCTGAGAGGAGCCGAGCACATCCGCGAAGCGACGTCAGAGTTCCCTTTAGCCGGCAAATCTAAATCTCTTCGGTCAAAATAATTTCTCTTTAGCGCCAATTATGTGACAGACAAGAAGAGTATGTGACAGACAAGAATAGTCAATTCTAGTGTCTAACACTTAATGTGGAGAAAGAGATGTCCTGTATGGGTTGATTGTGCGTTGATCTGTTGGTAATGCCTCGGGGTTCCGGTGGGCATGTAAACAAATGCTAAGCTATACTTTGTGGCCTCA